AAGATCTTCAAGTTGTAGCAGAATTATCAGGAGTCTTGGAAGCTCCAGATGATTTTCTGTCATTAGAGTTACGCACATTGTTCAATGATTTGCTACCGGAGCCAGAAAATGTCCAGTGTAACGAATTTGTTCAAAAATATGTGTTACTTAAACAAAAATACCAGGATTCGATAAGTGAATAAAATTTTGTAAAATGATGATCATGTAAAATGCTGAAGCATCAGTTAAAACAACAAAACAAACATATTATTGTTTTTTTTTTAAACAAGAAACAAACATATTATACTATACTGTCTTAGTATCCATTTATAAACTTTGTGTGCAGCATGTGGAATGTCACAGTTTACAGTATTCATATTGATGAACAATTTGGATGATACTTCATTACCTAGAAGTTTTATTATTGATATTCTATAAATATCATATTAGGGTCAGTCAGTTGATTATCCACACCCCTTCTCCTACTCTTCCTTTGTATGTAAATTTCAGATTGGTTGCAGTATATGTTCTTAATTGAAATACAAGACTAAAGGCATATAATCAATTAATATTAATGGACAACTTGCATGTTAGACAAAATTTTAATCTAAGCAGAGAAAAGGGAATCAAACACCACAGTTAAAAAGAACATATTGAAATTAGTAAAAGTGCAAAATTTGGTTGCGAAATGTTGTAAAGCTTGGAAAATATATAGCCTTGCAAAGTTCGCATATTTTCAGTATATTTGTATTACGAGCGGAAATTGTTACCATTTTCGGCTCAAAAATGGCAACAATTTCCGCACGTAATACAAATATACTGAAAATATGCAAACTTTGTAAAGCTATATTTTCCAAGCTTTACAACATTTCGCAACCAAATTTTGCAGGTTTACTCATTTTAATAAGTTCTTAACGGGAATTTACTTTTTTTTTCTTAGATCGGCTAGATCAAAAATTTGTCTAACATGCAAGTTGTCTATTGAAATAATGAATTTTCTAAAATTTCTTATGAATGGATTAATGCCTTTATAATGGCTGTTTCCCATTGTCTTTGTAGTTTTCTAAAGGGGTGTGGATTTTGAATTGAATAACTTTTAAGAGTAAAAGAACTACAATGTCGAACAAAATGATAAATTATAGAAACACTTTAACTGGTCATGTAAGTTTTCAAAAGACACATTCTCATGTTCTTGTATCTTTACGCATCATTCTCTACTTCTTCCGGCACGAGACCAAGGAGGTTACAAAATGCATTACACTTATGAGCATTGAAGAAATTCAAGTATGCTTCTGTTGATAGATTTCCAGCACAGAAGAGAAGGTGGTCGTCATTGTCATATATGCCAGAGACTGTGGCAATTTCAGGATCTGTTAGGTTATACTCACCTCCTTGGATATCTACCAACAAGAGTTTCCTGTTCGACTTTACAAACGAAAAATGAACAAGGCTTTCAGCCTTTCTTTGCTTCTCAATGTCCTTGTTATGTGAGATTGTTCCATCGTTGTTTACTTATTTTTGGAAAGTACCGGATGCAAACTGTTCTATTGTTACAATTTGGTTTGTGCACTGAACCTTTCCCAAAAATGCATCAACATACCGAAATGGCTTTCCAAATACATTTTTGTTTCGATCTTTCTCTACTTTTGCTGCAACTTGTTCTGCGAAATTATTTGCCAATGCTTGCATCTGAATAGACTTTCGTACATGGTCTTCTTGAGTCTCGTTTACTGCTCCAATCAGTTCAACTGTTTTAGGTAAGAAGCGTTTCACAATGTAAGTTTTACCTTCAAAATTTGGTGATTTCGAGGTAGCCTTGTATGCAGCACGAAAACCACCTTCAGCAAACTTCTCCTTTTCAATTGTAAAGTGTACGGATACTGGCGGTGACCAGACCATATCATTAATATTAAATCTTGAAACTTCAACAATCTCCTGCGAAGTTTCCGTAGCCGTTATAGCCTGTCCGAGTCTCATCATAGTTGTAATTCCAAGGCTTTTTGGGACATTATTAACTGGAGCTCGAAAGGAACTTTCTAGTTTACGTTTAACGCCAATGGCACTCGTCGAATGAGGGACGATAATTGGATCAGCGCGCGTCGACGTTGATGCTTTTGATCCAAATCGGACTGGGCTGGAGTTTATGCCACTGTATCGACTGTATGCAGTACTACAACCCTCGCTGTTCATTTGATCGTCCGTCATAACAAATCTAATATGAAATAACTTGAGGCTTGGTAATTGTGAGATCTTCGTGCATGACGGGGCACGTTCGCTTGCAAGAACATCACATGACATGCCTTTAGCTCGTTTCTTGAAGTGCTTGTTACAAGCAGCAATGATATTGGGAATAGTGACCTCTTCAAAAAAGAATGGTACGAACTCTTGCGGACCGGTTCTCTCGTATTTTTTAGCTTTCCCGGTTGCATCAGTTGCTAGAGGCTGCACCGTGATTTCTTTGTTTTCCAAAATACTTGAACCACAAGTGTTCTTACTTGCTTCGCCACATTTTGTTTTGTTTTGCTTTGTAGCAACATTTGTTCGTTTTAATTTTATATTTTGTGCAAATTTCGCCCGAACTCACCCGCTAAACTGCTTACGTTACAATAACAATAACAAATATGGCGGACAAGATTTAGCCCATAAACCTAAACTTTAAAGAACTTTTTTCGGTGACTAACATACTGAGACTGAAGAAAAACCAAAGAAAAAATGCAGTAAAGGTAATGTAGACGTAGATTAAGAAGTATTTTCTTGCCCAGTGATTTTTTTGGCCGGGAAAATGTTCACAAAACATCGACGAATATATCGCGAAGAGCTACAAATGTGTATGGCTCGGTGTATGGGATAAATCCCGGACTCACCTCCCTGCAAGTACGTCCAATCCCGGACTCACCTCCCTGCAAGTACGTTTGTTATAAAGTCCACCAATATGAATTTTTCTGTGTTGGTGTTGTGTACTCAGGTGAATAATATGTTTACGATGTTACTCTGAGTGCATATCCACACCGGGCGAGCTTGAAATCCCACCGTGCGAGCACTTGATAGTATCACACCGGGCGAGCCTGAAATCCCACCGTGGCCGGGCATATTTTTCAAGCTCGCCCGGTGTGGATATGCACTCAGAGTAACATCGCAAACATATAAGTCCACCAATATTTCGAATCAAGTGTGTATTTAGGCGCTTTTTTTTTACAATATTTTACAATATATAAAGCCAGTATATTATACCGCATTGTTATGATGTTTTTATGTCATTATATCAAACTAAAACTACCCCCAAATCACACTTAATACATAAAGGAAACTAAGTAAGTTATACTTTATAATTTAAAGTCATATTAAATGCAAAATATAATAAAATTAAAAAATAAATAAATATACACAGAGCCTGGGCTACTGTGGCCATACATTTCGCCAAAAATAACTTCGGCCTCTTCAAACATATCGTCTTTGTAATAGTCTTGTTCGAATCCCCATCAAAAACACTATTTAGAGTGTTATTTGCAAACCTGTGTCTTCAAATTTGCATTTTTTCACGGTATTTCCATTTCTTGTCCGGCTGTGAGCTCGAAGCTCGAAGTATTAATTTGATAGTATACGATCGCATTTGACTTTCAAACTCCCATAAATCACTACAATGTTAATAATGACTATAACTATCGTTCGGAATTAGTTCATCTTTTATTTCTGAATCGAATGGTGGTATTTCTGTTTTCATAGCATGTACTGAACCGAAGATATGAAATTTCTAGCCGTCAACCTCTCGAAGACGACCTCGCAAAGAGTTTTAATTTAATTACTGTAATATTAAAGCTAGATTCTTTCACCGTGATGTCATGCCAAAAGGTGTCTTTTCTATTTTTAAACTAGAAGTTACTATCGCAAGGAAAGTGCTGCCTCACCCCCAAGGGATGAAAGGCAGCATGCGCAATTTGCTGAATAAGGGGCTGTTTTTATGATCCCGCTTTGCCAGGACGAGATATGAGGTGGAATGATTTCGATGTATTGAAATCAGTCACCGTACACAATTCAGCAAAAAATTTATTTTCTAGAGATAGATTTATATATAGTTAACTGTAAACGAAAAGTTGTTCAAGCAGCAATAATAATCTTCTTGAACTACAAGATCTTCTCTACAATATTTAAGTTCTATTAACAAGCAGTTAAACTTTTGTTCAACCTGGTGACTTATTTCAATACATCAAAAATCATCCCACCTTCCATCATGTAAACAGCCCCTAAGACGCATGTACAGGAAGTAGGAAAAGTGCAATTTTAATACAAGGTCAAAGGTCAGCTAAATATTCTAATTCTAATACAGTCAGTGGTGAAGCTAGGTCGTAGGTTCGATTCCCACCGTGGCCAGGCATATTTTTCAAGCTTGCCCGGTGTGGATATACACTCAGAGTAACATCACAAACATCATATTCACCTGAGTACATTACACCAACACAGAAAAAATCAAGGTCATGCTACACTATACAAGTTTTTAATGATTTGCATTATTCAAATAGATCCAGGTTTATAGGTGTGGCATGACCAGTTGCCATTGTAGTTAGCTTGCAACTGAATACTGTACAATATCATATCATATATAAACAATAATAATACTTGAATGAATCATTGGACATGTAGAATTTAATAACAATTTCATATACAGAAATATTAAGTCAGTTTTTGACCCAATTATCGTTTTAATGGTACCTTCAAATTAAGTAATCTGCGATCAGGCCTATAAATAAATAAATAGGCCTGATACAAACCTTAACAAAAGATCATGCCTTAAGCCTGGTTCACATATGCCTGCGACTGTATCATTATGCCTCAACTTGCCGCCAAAATACCGGGAAAGTTGAACTCAAGTCAACTTTCCGATCCCGGCCTATCGCCCATGTAACTGAGGCACTGGAGGCAATCGGCGAACAAATATTCACATAATTCACGTTTTAAGCTACCACCGGCATCGTCGCCGGTACGTCGCAGGCACGTCGCAAGCATATATATGAACCAGGCTTAACAATCGTATTTCGGGTGTAAATCTGATTGGTCTATGAGACAAAAATATTTTTTAATCTGTCATTTGATTGGTTGGTGCTAATTATATTATATTGTTTATAGTGATCACAACTATAATTAGATTGTTGTTGTCCTTGTGTGAAATTTAAATTTCTCCTGCGACATTTTGATTGGATAATAAATATAAACTTTGCTGCACATGGGTGAAAACTATCGGATTAAGGTTTGTGTAGACATTGTGTAGTAATGATGGGGAGACAAAATCTGTTTGTGTCAATATTTTCATATGTCAGCTTCTGATGACATCATTCATTTGTAATGATTAAGATTGTACTCAGTCAGAACTGCAAAACTATATAATGCAAGAAATTGTGAGCATAAATTATAAAAAAATATAGTACATACCCTGAACTGTAGTGACACAGCCAGGTGAATATATTATGCTAACAAGTAACGATAGACATACGTCTCAGAGATATATTTGTATAGACCGTCCTACCTTTTGACAAAAGTCGGTTGACATGGTAAGCTGCTGGTAAGTTAATATGTGCAGACAACAATCCACACTGGGTTGCCATAGGAATATCTTTTTACAAGTTAAATATTTTTTCATTCGTATACAATTATGTGTTCCACTGCGGGTACGATATTGCTCAATTGATATTCCCATATAAATAACAATATTATAATAAACTATCACTGTGATTATTTATACCTTGAAGTACGATGTTCTATCAAGCTCAAACAGATTTTTTACTCCACTTGTTTTAATATATGAAGAGTTGTATACTTGTAGTTGTATGGCACCTAAATTCAAATTTAATAAAAGTACAGTTCATTCATTCGTTTCAATGAGTAAAATAATTCGACCAAAACACATTGTTATTTGTGATCAAACTTTCATCTTACCTTGAAATATATTTTCGATAAACAGCCAGACGTAAGAAAAATATAAACAGCCAGACATAAATTTACAACAGGCAACGAGGCACATGTTTAGTCATGGCATAGAGGTCATGGTAATCCTTCATGGTGGTGTTCGTGAGTCTCAACCAGGGTATTCGGAAAGTCAAATCGCGATCTGGAGTATGTTATTTTTCAAAATTTCTGTGACGTCAAAAAACGTCATAAATCTGAAAATCCGTACATCCGTCAACAAAATCGAGTTGTCATTCGGCTATACATAACTCGGCCAAAGAGACTGGACACGCGTAAACGCAATACTTCATGTTAAGAATAGTGTGCTGCCTTCGGCAGCAATAACAACATGACACGTCAATCACCCTAAGGTGACTTAAATTCCGTCGGAATATTAAATCAGTTGATCAACCTCGTTCCCAGGGCTTTCATATGAGGCGAGGCACGAGAAAGCCCTGGTCTGGGCCGGTCAATTTTGCATTCTGATTGGCTAACACCATATTGTCTAAAAATAACTGAACTTGACAGTTGACAATATTAACAATTCAACATTTGTATTTTTATGATTCTTGTGTGTACGAGAATGTTTTGCAAAATAATCTTTCGAAGTAAGACGTTTTCCCGATTTCCCGATTTCCCGGCCCTCGGGCGGCCGCCCGAGCTTGGGCCTGGGGACGAGGATGGATTTACTTCCGCCTCGGCCGGTTACAAAACTCAAAAGCCGTCTCGACGTGAGCTGTGATGTTTCCTGAGAAAACAAGAAACGTCTACTATTATTTAAGCTGTAGTTTTCCTTGTACAGTATTTATAATGTAATGCAGTCTGTGCAGATGTCTGATGAAATACTACGCGTATTGCATTGTAGTAATATTTTAATTTACAATATTCTGTACTGACAAACAAAAGCAAGACAAACAATTAAATGAAACTACTAAATTAATTTAGGCCCCGTTTACTTAATAGCTCTACGCCTAGGCCGATGTAGTGTAGTCTCTACAAGATTCGTCACGCCACCGAGTTTTACAGTTTTAGAATACTCCAATAAAACAAAGATTGTGAAGGGGATAATATTTGTAGGCAAGCATTGCTCCTGAACGGCAACTAGTATTGGTGTCCGGCGAAACAAGCGAATCCGTATTTTCCTGTACAGCGTAAACAGGTTACGCGAGGTTTTATATTTGTGTTTATTTATATTGAGCTAAGTCAGATCTATAAGAGCATATTTAAACTAAGTATTAATAGCAATAGCCATACTGTTCAAGACGAGAGAAAGCAAATTTCGTGTGAATCACCACTTGCATGGAGACGCCTAGATGCAGCTTGGATGCAGCTTTTAGCTTTGCCTGTGGTTGAAAATCTCCAAAAATATCGGTATATCTTAGAAAACATAGACTGGGTCTTCAGAGATTTCAGCTGATTCGTGCCAAACTTCGCTCTACACATAAATAATATCGATTGAGAAGTCTTTTGGCTGTTTATTTGTTTCGAAGACTTGTATATTTCATTGAAGAATATCTCGCCACTC